TTCACCTGTCCACGCTAATTCGTTTTTATTCAAAACACATAGTTACTGATACGTTTTCGCCTGTCGTCGACACTGAAAGGTCCGAAAACGCCAATCGGAAGCGACAGTTTATGACGCCTTTTCCGACCCTGTTTTCAAAAGCCTCCGTTTTCACCTATCCACACTAAAAAAGGAGCGTTTTCAAAGCGATACGTTTTAAGTGTCGCCGAGAGGCGAAAACGTATCAAAAAGTATGCTTTTTCAAACGAAAACGCATTAGTGTGGTCGGGGCCAAACAGATCGATAAATCGTAAAAAAAACATACGCATCCGAGATAATGTTAGGTCATTTTCGTCATCAGAGGATACCGAAGGCTGCTGTCTTGTGTCGTTTCGAACCTTCCACATTGAAACACTTTAAGACAGAGGGGGCTGGAAATAGGCCATTTACGAGTTGCCTTTTGCCTCTGTGTCAAAACGGGTCTTGAAAATGTGTTCCGCCTACAGGTTCATTTTCATGCAAATCAAAGTCATTTTCATATGAAAGGTATTGCATGAAGACTCGTTTTGAAACAGAGCCACAAGGTAACTCGGAAATGGCCTAACGTGGAAACGCCGGAATAGGCTGTGTGTTCCAATTAGCGCTTGGCTTTATCGTGGATGCTGCAATAGAGAAGGATTTTTAGAATTCCCCAATCTCTTAAAAGAGAGTGGTAAAGTTAGGAGAATGAGGACTTCACAGAAGCATCTCGTTTTTGCGATAGTCTCCCTTCCTTTAGCTGTAGTTATAGACAAAAATGCATACTAAATTAGTGGACGGGGGCTGAGATTTTGCAGGAGGTTGAATAGATATTTTGTGTAAATGGCGCCTAAACTTGAATAACGATACTTTATATATCCTTAGCCTTGTGTTTGTTTCCATGTAAGACTTAAGATGTATAAGTGTTGCTATTCACGTAACGGTTCCATTTATACAAGGTGTCTATTAATCCATCATTTCGATTTTTAAATGCGTCTTAGAATAACCTGCGAAAACAGCTGTCCTTCTTCGTTGCGCCACTCGGGGCGGGAGCGAAAAAGGACTACTGTTTTCGCAGGCTAGTCTTAGAATTCCAGAGATTTTCTTCGTTTCGTTTCGACTATGAAAACAGGAGTGCCTTACCGCGAACTCTGGAATAATCGAACGATCAATAATTTTTCAAAGTCTGTTTAAAACTTATTGTTCGCATTTCTAATTATACACTTTTCCTTGATCTTAGTGCCCAGTGGCTGCGTAGATGGCGCGGCCGACCGTAACCGCGTTTGGGCAGCACCATCTGGTACTAGCCGTGAGGAATGTGAGAGCAAACCCGACAGATGTTACTGGACAGACGGCTGGGGTTATTCGAAAGGAGCTATGGCAACAGGCGTCTGCTATTACAACAAAGGTTAGTAGAGTAGCGTCCTAAATTCCATGTGGAACAAGAGAGGATGACGAGAAGAGAGTCAAGGGGCGGGGTTAACATGAATTTAAGTGAAATTTTAGGAAGTTTAAATGGGGATTTAAAGGAAAAAAAGGTTTTGGAACACCACCAGACAGTTAAACGCCCCCCGAAAGGGCACTCCAGGGTGGGCAACTGTTTGGTGTGCGTCTACCAACTTTTTAACTTCAAATTCTAATTTTAAAACAACATCAAATCTTCAACATTTCCTATTTCCTTAAATTTTACTAATCGTTTTTAGAAAAACTATTTATCCCTAAATATACCCAAAATTCACCAAAAAAATTTACAAAACATCCCAAAACGTAGATATGTGGGATGAGCAGAGAGATTTTTAGAGTGAATCCCCCCTATAATCCTTATTCCCAAGGTAACCTCTCTCAAGTTATTAGAGTGAATCCCCCCTATAATCCTTATTCCCAAAGTAATCTCTCTCAAGTTATTGGAGTGAATCCCCCCTATAATCCTTATTCCCAAGGTAATCTCTCTCAAGTTATTAGAGTGAATCCCCCCCCCCAAATCC